TGTGTTTCCCAYGTAGGAGCTTCTGCTTTGTACAGCGCTTCGAACTGCTTGCGGTAATTCGGAACGAGTTCCTTGTCCAACTTTTCAACACACTGAAAGTACTGGGCCTTAAAGGAACAAACAAACCCATGAACTTCACACATGCACACTCCTGGGCTTTTCACACAAGTGGGGAATTACCCCCCAGCTTCCATGTTTAGCCTATTTCAATGACATCACACCCAGGACTCACTGTGTAGGGGTGTCTCTCATCCTGGAAATAGGTGAGCAGGTGCAGGACACAGCGCAGGATGCAGATCCTCTCCTCATAGTAGTAGTCAGCGAGCTGTGAATGTAAAGTGCCATCAATACCAACTTGGCACAGTGTCCAACCCTCATCCACCTCCCTCTCTCAACCACTGCCAAGGCCTTCACCACAGAAATAGAGAGTTACTACAGATGGAGTTTCAACTGAGCAGCTTTTAAGTTGGGGAAAAAAAAACAGCATTTCATTAATGTTACAGAACCTAATAAAGCAYTGCCATAAGGACAGGTTTATAATTACACTGTCAAGTGAGAAAATTTGGAAAAGAAAGGCAAAAAGACATCCTTATTATCCTCTGTCAGAAATGATCATCAATCTTGTCACATCAGACAGTATCACACAAGCCTACAASCTTTGGAAAATAAGGCAATATACATTTACCCAGCTAAATTCCCTCATATCAAGCCAAAAATTTCACTTCTGTAGCCATTACTAACACTGTTCTAATCTATATGCAGATCCCTCAAATTCAGAAGCACCTTCTAAGAGCCWTCCTTTATATGAAGGAATACTTAAATTATTTCAAGATTCTCCATAGAAATAAAGTAGGTTTGCTGCCAACAGATCTTTTCTACAGTAAATACAAATGGAAATGACTAACCTTCAGCATCAGAGCCTGACTCTGCCTTTCATCCTGAAGAACTGTCTGTAAACAAAACACAACAAAATAGCTAGCAAAGAAATACCTACTGACAAAAGATATGATCACAAAATGACTGAAASAAATAAAAGACAATTTTTCTTTCCAGATCTTTTGGAAAGACAGATTCCAAAAGCACAAAGCCAAAACACTCATTTTTAGCTCTATTTAWTTTTTGTCTCCACTCTCATTTACAAATCTGTAGCTTTCTTGTATTCCTGTGACAGAGARAGGAGCTGAATTCCTGCAGAGATTCGAGAAGGAAGAGATAAGCMTGGATGTAGCTCCAGAGAAGAAAAGCTACAAAGCCATTTCCCAGTCAGAACTCAGACTCACGTGTGACCATTTGCATCAAAAAACTACTTGTATTAAGAAAGATGTGGAGTAAATAGAACATAAATGGGAGCTATGGACCTTCAGGGAGTCCCTTGTTCCTCTATAATCCTCTTGAAGATAAGACTGTAACAACTGCACACTCTGCTCTTCATCCAGACCCTAAACAAAAGAAAGAGAAATGCTCTGAAATTAATAAAAGGCAAACTGAATTCATTAACAATTAAGATGCTCTCCAAATACTCAGGCAGCTCTTATCTTCAAAACAAATAACATGCCAAAAGAATATTTTTGCACCAGGCAGATGCTTTAATCAGCACTTCTTTTAAAGCCAAATACACAAGCTTTCAAGTCACTGAGCTGCAGTTTAACTTCAGCTAAAAGAGCATCAGTCATTTAAATAAAGGTACCACCAGTCACTGAGCTCTAAGCTTCTGGCTTAAAGAAACAGACCCTTGCAGATGAACTGAGAGGATTGTCAAACAAGGCAACTGATTTAAGGGACATCAGTTAAAAAACTGCTCAGTTTTTTAGCAAAGCAGTTGTCCTGGAAGACCCCAATACAAACCAATAGCAACCAGGAAAGCCACAGCATCCCAAAGTCACTCATCACTTTGGAAGTTTGACCTAGAGCCTCAACATGTACATCAACATCCTCTAAGTTATTTTGAATGAAAGGACCTTAAGTTTCTCTCTATTCAACATCAAGAAGGTTACTTCAGCATCAGAATCCCAATAACAATTCATCCCAGCGATAAAAAATAATCAAAGAGCAGCTTCACTCACCAAAAACTTGCTGACCCTCAGACCCAACTCTTTTAGTGGAGCAGCTACATCTTTATCAGCTTTAATTTTTTCTGCTGAAGTCGTACTAAARAGAAAAGAAATTCTAGTCATTAAAAATGCAGCAATCCCAAGGAAGGAACTAAACAGACATAATTTCAAAGTCTTTAGTTCTATAAGGTTAAACTGTGCATTTGCTTTTTCTTCAGTGACCTTTCAATATTTCACACAACAATATTCTTTAACCTTTCTTTATTTACTAGGAAACTCCACATTAGAGATTCATTTCTAACATCAGGCAGTGACTATACCTTGGTGGTTTGTAGTATGACAGTCCCTCTAGCAGCCTCTGCCAGTGCTTGTTCAACTCTGCAGCAATCTGGGCCTAAAACAGAACCAAACACCACTGATCAGACTTCTCAAAGTGCATTATTGAGTATCAGATTTGTTAAACTTAAGCAAAGCAAAGAAATTCCACCACCACAAAGAGGCAGCAACAACACAAGACAGGTGTCTGTGACTCAGAGTGATTCCAGATGCAGGACTGAACAGGGCATTGCCTAATCCCAGGAAGGTGAGGAAACAGGAGACAATGGACTGGGTTTAAAAGCATTTGGATTCCCAACCTTTGGGCAAATTCTGGAAAGCACAGGGAAATAAGGCAGCAGTTGTAGCACACATAAACACCCCAGAGCACCCCAGGAAGCAGCACTTGTGCCCACTCCAGGAAAGGAACTGCCTTTTCCATACACCCTTCCAGGTAGTTCATGCAGCAGCTGTAAACAAGCAGTGAAAGAATAAATAAGTAGCAGAGATGTGGGAAGAAAAATCACACTAAGAAAGAAGGAAAAGCAGCTAAAACTATTTTCACTACCACTCAAAGAGATGCAAAAATTATGTRTTGGCCACAGAACCCCTTCAGTGATGGCCAAACCTGCTCAGCAGAACATGGACTTACTGGTTCTCTTAAAGCTGATCTGCCCAACAAAATTGTCCATAATTCTCTGCTGCTCCTGTAAACACAAGGAAAAGGTGGAGAGAATTTTAATGAACATTATTCCAGGCTTCCATTTAGCTTACACTTTTCAAACCTGCAATGAACTCGCAGCAGATGACACTGCGATATAAGAAAAATTACTTAAGGAATATTAGCTTTTAGCTGATGAGTTTCAGATGTCCTGGAAAAACCAAGGAAGAACCCAGAGACGGTGTCAACTGACACACCAAGACCTGTAAACTCAYATCAAAGCTTCACATTGATATCAGGTTACCAGCTCAATTTGATTTTGCTACTTCAAGRTTCCTAAGAAGAAAGTTAATGAAGRCATAAAGAAATATTTTATTGCTACATTCAGTGCTCTCCTTCAAACATATTCTTCCCTCAGTTTTATCCTCTCCTCTAAATAGAGCATAAAACTGTGTGAAGTGGAAAACTGTGCCATTACTCAGACACCAGAACATTTACAATCAGCTTCTCATTTCTTCCTGAGAACTCTGTAGGAAAGTCAAACTGCACTATAAGGAATTACAGATCACATCCTGACTCTGGCACATGAACTCAAAAAAGTGTCCTTCCAACAATCCAGAGAAAAGATATTTGGCAAAAAGCGTATTTCACTGAGAGAAATGATGGTTTGCTAGCAACRTATTACAAATGAGAATTTAAGCACCACAACCACGCAAAGACTGTCTACACARGAACACTCATTGCCTTATTTTTAGAATAACATTATTAGAATAACTCACTGTGGCAGTGAAAGTCATCTGCGATTTCTGACATGTGGTGACATTTAATRAATGACAACACCTGTTATTTCCAGCACACCCATCAACATAATCCCTCCCTGCTAATTCCTGGATAGTCGGGTGCACTTCCCTGACGTGAACCTCTGCAGCACACACAGAGCACCCAAAATTTTACCAAGCATTGAACAGCAATGTAAAAGAAGAARTTCAATGAATCCCAGGTTCAGTGATCATGTTAGAGTAGTGCCTTCATTTGTCTTGAGCAGTTTCTTTTATTGTCAAATCTGAGCCCCAGCCTAGCAAAGCCAGTCCATATACTTTTCACTGCCTCTTCTGTGAATAAAACAGATCGTGGTTTGTTGTTCCCTTCATTAATAAGGCTTCAAGACAGCTAAGGGAGGAAAGCTTCTCTGTAGCAACCACAAGCAACAGTGGTGTCATTCATTTATAAAAACTGACACTAGGGAAACTCCAGAGCATAAAAGCGTTATAAAAAATGAAAGAAAACGTGTTGTGCACGAACGATACCGCCGAGCTAAGGTGATCACTGAACATGGGATTCATTGAATCGCTTCCGTTACACATCTCCACGTGTGTATTTTGATTTGTACGTTTGCAGGAGCCGCGTGGGAGGCGCAGCCGGCCCTGGCGCGCCCCTCGCCCTCAAGAAAGAGCTGAGGGTCTGCCGGGCACCTCCGCCAAGGAGCGCAGATCCAGCCCCCAGCCCCGCCAACTAACGGCTTCTACGGCGTCCTGCCCAGCCTCTCATCTCGTACGGCAGAATAAAATAACCACAAAGTCGCCGACAGYCGCTGCTCACTCGGGCCTTTGGGGCCGGGGGATCCCTGAGGGTCCCGCAGAGAGGGGGCGGGGCCTCGCCGCGCGCGCGAGGCAGGGGCGGAGCCAGCCCGGCGCGCGCCCCGCCGCAGCTCAACCCTCCCGGCCCCGCGCTGCGGCCCCCTCCCGCTGGCCCCTCACGGCCCCCGGTCCCGCGGAGCGAGGGCCGCCCACAGCGAGAGCCGGGACTGCCCCCGCGTCGCCCTCGCGTTCCCTCCGCCCGAGCGGCCGCTGCCCCGCACCTCGCGCTCAGCCCGCCCGCCGCCATCTTCGCTCCGCTTTCACGTGACCCCAGGCCCCGCCTCCCAGCCCACGCCGGCGTCACGTGGTTATGCCTAAACCACGCCCCTGGACACGCCCCCTTCTGGGGTCATGTGACAGGCGGCGCGCCAAGATGGCGGCGTCCTGCGAGGTGGGTGCGCGCTCGGCTCCGGGCGGCGGGCGGGGCGGGGCCGCATTCGCGCTGCAGCCGCGGATCGCCCGGGAGCGGCTCCSACACCTCCCGCGGGCGGCTGCGGTTCTCAGCAGCGCACACTGGGTTRTGGGTGCTGCGGCTGAGGGGGAGAGGAGGACACGGCGAGCAGCACAGAAGGGCAGGGCGCGGGCAGCCCGCGGGTTGAGGGGCGTCCGCAGCGCTGCGGGGACAKGGGGAAGAAAGAGAGCAGGCAGGGGCTGCAGCGAGGGGAGGGCTACCGGATGTTTAGCAGCACMTCAGTCGAAGCTTCCCTGCCCAAAGCAGCCGGCATGCGGATCACGAAACGGGCAGAAAGCGCTCGGTTCGGGCTTGAACCGGCGGGTGACGGGTCCCGCTGGRCGGTGAGAGAGCGGCAGTGCTGAGAAGCTTCACATTACCTGAAAGAAGGTGTGGAGGAGGGGATTGCGGCAGGCACAAGAAAACGAAATAATTCAGCAGTGAAATACACGGTGTTGCAGATTGTTCAGGTCTGAACACTGAGAGCTGCTGCATTAGAGACCTGAGCCAGGGTGAAATTCTGCCTTGTCTTGCAGCCAGGCAGCCCGGTGAGGGACGCTGTCATGTGCCATTGATACAAGAGCTGGGGTGCAACCTGAATGTTGCCAGACTGAGTTGGAGGACTTTGGCTGGCAGATGACATTGACTCTGCCTCTTCTCAAATAAGCCTTAAGTTTCTCCCTCCCCAGYGCTCAGAAACAGCAAGGAATAGGACCCCAAAACTATTAGTGGTTGGAGGCAGATATTGCCCAGACTGGTTCCATTTTATTGACTGTATGATTAATTCTTCTCCTGTTTAAAAATTAATAGCAGGAACAAAAGATTACTTGGCCTGATGGAGCTATGTAGCAACAGTGCATKTAATGAAGCTGTTTGGCAATCCAGCATTTCAGGCTATACAAATAAGGATGCCAAAAGGCAATCTATTACTAATTAAGTTTTTAGTACAAAGTCATAAATATCTAAACACTGCAGACACACAGTCTAAAGAACGGTACAAACTRTAACAGTTCCTCAGTAATATTGTTWWATTTGTCAGSTTTGTAATCTGGTGTCACCATTCAWCACTGGCTGAAAACCCAAAAGAGAACCTTGAGTGAACTTCTGGCCTTTTGGTCTTCCATGAGGGAGCTGGTGGAGATATTGGCAATGAGACTTGAGGGCCAGAATTTAACAAGAGTTTGCTGCTGATCAGCTTAAGGGTGGGTCAGAAAGGATAAAGCCATCTGCTGTCAAAGAGCCCAGAAAGGTGCCAGAGGTTTACTTATGGCTCATAATCAAATTATGTGTCCATTGAGAAATCAAGATTGCCAGAAAGCGATAAATACTGGTGAGAATTGCACAATGTTGTCAGTGCCCACAATTCTTTGAAGATGAGATTTAACCTAACAGAGTGATTATGCCTATTGCTGATTATCTCAACTGCTTATCTTCCAGTCCAAAAGTTTAAAGGAAAGTTTGGTTTGCAGGGCAGCTGGCAGTAGGCTGTGAGCCTTCACTCAGAGAAGGTGAAGTGCAGGATTGGCTCACCAATCTATTTCAGTCAACTGTGTGTTGACATTAGCAATTGGCACATAACTATCAGTTTAAATTGAGCTTAAGAACAAAACAGCTGTGCAAACACTGTAGCTGTCTGAGTGGTTGCTTGAATTGTTTGCTTTTGTTTGTTTTTTTTTATAGGAGTTGCAGTAGCATGGAAGGGAATTCTTCCTAATGGCCACCTGAGCACATTGTGACTCTGAGATTCTGCAGCCTGAGGTACGTTGACTGGAATCATGTTAAACAAGCCAGTGCTGGTGGAGTCCCTGCTGGTGTTCACCATSGTGCTGTCGGTGCACGCGGTGGTGTGGGATCGCTTCTCCTGGTGCGCCGTGGCTTTGGCCGTCCAGGCTTTCTACGTCCAGTTCAAATGGGACCGGCTGCTGCAGCTGGGAGGGGCTGTRTTCCAGTTCCGAGGGGCAGCCAACAGCGGCCTCCTGCCTGCCAGCATGGTCATCCCCTTGCTGGGGGTGGTGATGAAGGAGAGGTGCAGGGCTGCTGGCATCGTGTACTTCGAGCGCTTCGGCATCGTCGTGGCTTCCACAGGAATGCTGCTCGCTCTCTTCCTGTCCGTCTTAGCAGTTGGCATCACCAAACCTGTGCCAACCAACACCTGCATCGTSACTGGTATTGCTGGCAGCGTCATTATCTACACCATGAAACATTCCTTGACTGTCTCGGAAGTGATAGAGGTTCTAGAAGTGCTGCTCATTTTTGTCTACCTCAGTATGATCTTGCTGTACTTGTTGCCTCGATGTTTTACTCCTGGAGAAGCACTGCTGGTTCTTGGAGGTGTAAGTTTTGTCCTCAATCAGCTCATTAAGCGCTCACTGAATGTAATCGAGGGCAGAGGGGATCCCATYGACTTCTTCCTTCTGGTAGCAGTTGTTGGAGTTGTTCTTCTTGGTCTRTTTTTCACTGTGCTCTTCATTTTCATGGATTCGGGCACGTGGATCTCCTCCATGTTTTTCCACATGATGACAGCAGTGTTAGGCTTAGGGGTCATCATGCCTTGGCTGTACCGCCTGATCCACAGGAACCCTTTGTTCTGGCTGCTTCAGTTTCTGTTTCAGACACAGACAAGACTTTACCTTCTCGTGTACTGGAGTCTCTTGGCCGCTTCAGCATGTGGTGTGGTTTTCTACCAGAACGCCAAGAGATCATCTGAATCTAAAAAACACCAGGCCTCGACTRTAACCAGGAAATATTTCCATTTCATTGTTGTAGCTACTTATGTTCCTGGACTAATTTATGACCGCCAGCTCCTCTACGTTGCTGCAGTGCTGTGTCTGGCAGTCTTTATCTTCTTGGAGTACATTCGGTACTTCAGGATCAAACCCTTTGGACAAACCCTGAGGCATTTGCTCTCTCTCTTCTTGGATGAAAGAGACAGTGGACCTCTAATCTTGACTCATATTTATCTCCTCCTTGGCATGTCCCTCCCAGTGTGGTTGTTTCCCAGATCTTGTGCTCCTAAAGGCACCTTGCCCGGGGCAGGAGCACTGGTCCCCTACTCTGGAGTGTTGGCAGTAGGGGTAGGAGACACCATTGCCTCTGTTTTTGGCAGTACAATGGGAGAAATCAAATGGCCAGGAACAAAGAAGACCTTTGAAGGGACCATGACAGCTATTTTTGCTCAGATCATTGCTGTGGCTCTCATTCTGATCTTTGACAGCAGTGTGAATCTGAACTCCAGCTATGCCTGGATTCTGGCATCTGTGAGTTTGGTTTCCCTTTTGGAAGCTTACACTACCCAAATTGATAATCTGCTGTTGCCTCTCTACCTCCAGATCATGCTCATGGCATAGAAGCACTTCCAGGAACAGAGGTTTCTCCCTTCCTAGAGAAAAGTGGTACTAGAAAATGCACTATAATGAAAGCTCTCAGCTTTTGGTACAGCAGAGAAAGTTATTAAAAACAGAAATGAAAAAGACTTATTTAAAATAAAGGGTTTGATTTGGTCATGTTTCTTCCCGTCAAAAAACAGGAATTATATTCTCACAGCAACAAACGTGACTGATAAAAACAGCACTTGTGTTTAATAATCCAATTTAAGTTTCTTCTGGGTGCCCCAGGGGAGCAGAGGAAGAAGAGGTAAGTCAATTAGAGAGGAAAAAATAAAGGAGCAAATCTCTCAGATATTTCCACCTCTGTACTGTACCTTGTTTTCTGTACCGAGTCCTGTGTCTTGTATTTGATGTGTGAACTCTATTTCTGTATAAGCATGATGTAAAGCATGTTTGATAACAAGAGTGGGCACAGGAAGCAGGTACAAGTATCCAGCTGTGTCCAGTCCCCATCAAAAAGAGCCAAAACCACACCATGATCCACAAACAGAACTCCAAACTCAGTAGCTGCCACAGCTGAGTTTATCCAGAACAGGTGGGGTAGGTTTGAGATGTYAGACACTGCTCATTTCAAACCCTACTAAAAGAATGGTGAATCTTTAGCCCTGAAGTTTGATTTAGCAAGAAAAATGTTTTATCTTTCTCAAGATTTTAATCTCTAAATTCATTTGGAATGAATATGGGGGGAAAGTTAAGCAAAATCACTGCTGMAACTAATTACACATTAATCCTGAAAGCAGAAAACCTGTTGAAGTCAATAAAATTTTATACTATTGGACTTTTCTATTTTTCACATTTTTTTCAGCCAGCTGTTCAGTCAAATAATTTTCAAAAATGCTTTCATCAAGAAACTGACTAAAGCCACTGAATTCAATCCATTTAATTAAAATTATAACTACCATTTTGTGGCCAAAAAACTCATTTAATTTTCACGTATGAAACCCTTCTTCAGCAACAGCCTCTTCTCACTGGTTTGCCAGGTGTCCATTAGAACAAAACACAAATGTCCTCCCTGCCTCTTCCTGTCTCCAGGGACATGTCCAAGCAGGAGACTGTCATTCCAGGGTTCTAGTTTGCATCATGAAGTTAACTTCTGACCCTTTTTTAATTCCCTATTGGGAACARTTTGGGGGAGGTCCAAGGTTTCTTACACAACACTGTCCTGTAGCCTTGTAGCTCTGAGACCGTGTCTTGGGAGTAAGACAAGGGGTGGAGTGAGACCAGTCCCTGGGTCAGCAGAATTGGCTCCAGAATCCCATACTCTGTGTCCCTACAACAAGCYAGGACTGGAATAGCTGAGAGGCAGCATTGCCCAATTCATCCCTTTGCCTGGGAAGGGCTCCTGGRATTTTTCTGAGGATGCCAAAGTTGGCCAGAGCTGGGCACTARCACAGTAAATTGCCAGATACTCTGCAGAAAACCAAACTCAGTAACTGCTGGGCTGTTTCCTTCACATTTAATGGAAAGTTCTGTCAATCAATCCAGCTTTTTAATTTTATTTATGCACTTGAAGTAGACAGTTGTGCATGCTGCAGGTAGTGGTGTGAATCAGGACAAACCATCCCTCCTCAGCAGAATTCTAAATTATTAATTCTTCTCATGGGAAGACACAGACAAAGCTTGATCTGCTTCTGTCACAACCCACAGCCTTCACCACTGAATAAATAGCAGCAGGGTAGAGAAATTTGCTTTCCTTCCGCCCTGCTCACACATTTTAAACAAATTGTAGAAAATGTAGTTTTTCAATGCAGAAACTTTGCATTCAGCGTTCCTGCTGTTGCCATTACTGAGCTCCCCAATTTACTTTTAAAAATGATGCATCTGGATTCACTCCACCCCAGCCCTGAGCAGCCTTAGGATGTAATTCCTGCATGGGTAACTGGGCTCCTATCTCAGGATTGCCACTGCGCCAGTGCTGGTGAAATCACACTGACACAGGTTCTGTTCAGCTCAGGACACAGGCTGGAGCTTGCCTCAGATGCAGCTTGCATTTCCAAACATTCCTTGCTATGAGTTGGTTTGGGTTTGGTGAGGTTTTGGGGATAGARATTGTGCTTGCATATATTGAGTGTTCCAACTGCTCACCAGTTCACAATGTCCCCATCTGCTGGGAGAAGGTCACACTGTGTCTTCCTCAAAGAAAGGATGATGGAGATGAAAAKGAAAATGTCAGGTTTTTTATTTAAGTATAAAAAGTTTGATTGAGGTTCTTTGTTTCCATCATTTCAGCATGAATCTTTAAGAAGTGTCATATTTTTAATCAATACACCAAGAGATGAAACACTCAGCTACAGTTTGCCAGGAATGCTTAGAAGATTGGCTCTAAAAARCAGACTTCCTGCTTCACATTTTCCACAAGAAGATTGTTTTAAATCACTGTTATTTCCAAAAATATGAGAGTGACCTAAGGGGGAAAGTCAGCCTTCTCTCCATGACATGTTCCCCTGCATTGCTGGGGTCAATCAGCTGAGAATGCACTTAATCTCTTAAACAGAAAATACTGAGTATCCGCAGGGAGAAATACACAGTAACTAGTCCCAGACAACTTGCAATGGTCTTGACTGGTCTGATTTCAAAACTGGAGGTGTTTCCCTACCAAAAGGACTGGGTGATTACTCTCACACTGGCAGGGTTCCTGCTGCAGTAGATTCTGCAGGTTTTGGGCTGTGATAATGATCTTTGTTCCAAGGTAGAGGRTAAATGAACATTGAGAGCTGATCTAGTGAAGGTTGGGTTTAAAGAGACCATACATCAGAACAATCAGAAAGGAGTATTGATCAGCTATTGACTCCACAAGCCAGTCACTAATTTCAGGTGTAGAGYGATGGAAAAGGCAGTTCAGGAGTTGGCTGGAGCCTAGGGAGTAAGGAAAAGGTAAAAGCAAAACTTCAGAGGCTGTTCCAGTTCTGCAGATACAAAATCAACACCAACTGTGGTACTACCAACAAACTGTAACAGGCAACACCCTCAACAGTTATCCTGACTRTTGCATTGGAAAGGCTCCATTTTCCTCAGCCACTTGTGAGGATCACAACCTTACCAGTTCTCTTTGCTCCAGGTGGTGCCTTTGGCTTCCATCACGTGGAAGGTGAATGCGTGGCGGGAAGACTCCGAGCTGTTGAGTTCACTCTTATGGACAACCTCACCATGGATAAGGATGAGTCCACCTATGGGAAAGAATCACCTGSACTGCTGTTTTCCAAAAGATGAGCTCTGGCTTTCCAGTGGAAGGGGAGGTGCAAGAGTTAAAATACATTTTTAGCTCCCTTGTGTTTTCTTGAGCTGTGAAGCACCACGTTTGGGGGTGTTTGTACCTTTACTTATAGGCAGAGGTATGAATTGTTTGTCATYATAGGCTGGCTCTGACCCTACAAACTCTACACACGTTGAGGCACCTGAAGCTGCACGGACCATTCTCCGGGTAATCCCATCTGCAAATCACAGAATAAACAAACACACAGAAATTAAACACCTGACTACATTCAGCACAGCAAAGGAACAATATCAGTGATTTGTCTTGGTAATGATAGGAACTTTATTATGACTATATTCACACTTTCCTTAGTAATTTGGGTGGGGTCTTYTTCATTCAGCAGAGAATTAGGATTTTCCAGCTGTGGCAGAAACAGATAAACAGCTGCCTTTTGTTTGCCTTTCTGGCCTCTTCTGTGCATTGCAACAGACCCTTAGGAACACAAATACTCACACTCTTATGCAAAGCCAACCTTTAGTCCATTTGTGCTTTCTATAGGAGCATAAAACATGATACGAGTACAGCTGGCTCCAGAATTTGAGGAATGAGTGCCTTAAAATCTGARGAGCACTATAATTACACTCATGGAGTGAATGTATGAGGTGAGCAGTAGTTTAAAGCTGCCCTGTGTGYACTAGAGGTGGGGAAAAGCAGGACTGTGCTGGTGACCAGCAGTGGTCACACACATGCTCTTACTGGTGTGGGAGCCAGGGATGAACCACAAGCAGCCATTCTCCTGTGTGGCATCTTCCAGGGCGATCCAGAACCCCAYGACCCTGCCCAGAGGCTCTGTGTGCAGGAAGGTGGCATCCTGGTGTGGGGTCACTGCAAGGAAAGACTGCCATTGGGGTCTTTAATGGAATTCAGTTCCTCTAGAAGGACTTTGGGGTTGCATCTYCCTGGCTCAGAGCCCTCCCCTGCCCACCCATCTATCACACAGATGAAATTTTACATAAAAATACCACCTTTCAGCCTGCTGCAAAGGTGAAAACAGCTCTTTGTTCAAGGTCTGTATGCTATAGAAACTTTTCAGAAAAAAAAATGTGTGTTTTAAAAATAATTTTAAGAAAGTTTAAACCCCCAAACTCACAGATTTAAGTCTGATTCTGAGTCTTTTCCCTGGTAATATTCCTTCCCTAAAGGAGCATTATCTGCAGTGTGATACAGAGATAACACAAATCTCACCTTCACCACCAATGCCAGGTTGCTGCAAAGAAAAAAAAAAAAGTGATGTGTGAAGCGTTTCACAGCTTGCCACCTAACAGGGTCTTATTTCTTGAGTGACAACTTGAATTACTGTACCTTGAAAATATACATGCTCTGCACAACTACTGGTCTCTCAAGGCCTAGTTTTCTTCCCAATTCCTGCAAGAAAACTTTCCAAGATTTATGTTTGCAGTTTTCCACACACTATATAACATTATACTTTGAAGATTTTWAAATTTCCTTTTACTGACAAAATAACTACCCTTGGGAGTCTAGAAAATTAAAATTAACTACTCCACAATTTTTTTTCCCCAGGAAAGTAGGAAGCAGTYACAGCTCACCTGCACCTTGGGGGAGTGGGTGATTTGCTTGAAGACAGGATCATGAGCGTGAAGAGCTAAGGGGAAAGAAAAGGCTCAGACTGAAGATTTTGGAAGCCAAGGGAATGTGGCAGCTCTCAGTGATGAGCTGCAGACACCACAGCCAAGCAGGATAAATTGCAGCCAGAAATCTTCATTCCTACCAAGMTGGATAAACGTGGCTTATCACACCTAAGGTCACAGGACACTTACAGGTTGTACAATCATCATTAGGGACCATAAATATAATCACTCCCTGGCCACAAACCACACACATATAAAAGGCAGTGTATAACAGAGTGAACAAAATGGAGTATTATGTGCTCAGCATTTTATTACACAAGTGAAACCRTTACACATGACCCTGAGGCATATGGGTGAATTCATTCTTTAAAAACACACCTCTTAAAACCTCCCARAAAAGTGAAGTACTGCAAAAAGGAACTGGAGCTCATCTCTGGTGCCCTTCAGAGAGCCTCAGCCAGCAGGTCAGAGCCATGCAGACAATTCCACAACCCAGCTCTGACAAATCCACASAGCAAAGACTCAGACCTCTGCCTCCAGCTCATCCTGATCAGATTTGCCATGAGGACACAGGCCCAGGTCCAGCAGGAGCTGCTCTCGAGCAAGAGATGAGACTTGACCAAAAGGAATAATTACAGAGAATAGGTCTAGAGAAGGCTTTTGAATTGTTAAAGTTGCTGGGTCAGCAGGAATCTACAGTTGTTTTCACTTCCCCTGAGGAAAAGCTGAAGTGTGACAGAATGGCAGTGGGCCTGGGAAGGGGGGAGTGTTTTTCTGAGAAAACCAAAGAATGAGAACTCCTAGTACTGAATTTCGAACTGTAGTGATGTTTAAGCTGAACAAAGTTCATGTGTTTGCAGGCACAGGGAATCCTGCTCTCATTTTCCATGTATTATTTGAAAACAAAAGGGATCAAAACACAAGTCCAAAAGCTCAGAGAGAGGAAATAAGTCAAACTGAGAGCAGTGAGGATAAAGAAAAGGTGTTGGGGACACCAAAGGAGGGAAGGTAGCTCTGGCATCAGCAACCCAGCGTGGCCCAGGACACAGGAGAGAGTTTGGCCTGTACTGAGTGTCAGCAGTCTCAGGTGGTGAATTGTTAGAGTAAATCTCTTACATAAAACAGCCAAGGGCTGAAGTCCAAACTTTCGCATGTCAGTGACTCTGAGCTATTCATCGCTGAAAAACCTCTGAGAAGGGTTTTTGAAAAGGATTGGAACAGAAGATTAAGTCCTTTGAGAGCAGAGAGTGAGGGGCAGCAYGGAGAGAAACTGCAGACAGTGATGTACAGTAAATCTGGAAAAATCCTCCTGTCTGAAAAACCACATCTCTTATCCATCCCTCTCTAAACCCCATCCTTTAAACATACCATGGCCAATCTTGCTGATGGACCTCTCCTTTGGAACTAGRAAGTTACCTACAAAACAAAACCAGAATTTATTTTGTTTGTTAAGCAGGAATCACTCCTTGTGCTGGAAACTGATCCCTGATCCCTCACTCACCCTTCTCCCATCCCCTTCCTGTGGTAAACTCAGGCCAGGGCTTACCTTTCTCATCCAAAACACCTTTCTCAAAGAAGAATCTAATCTTGTCTCCACTGGTTAGGAAATAATCCGAGCTACCCTGCCAGGGATAAGAGCCCAGTAAAGACAGCATCCTTGTAAAAACAAATGAATCTTCAATCAAAGCATTAACACTCACCTGCATCTTTTTCCCCACCGAGCCGCAGCATAAACCAAACACAGTGAAAAAAATCACTTATGAGAAAGCTTTCCACAAAACTACATGCCTTGGTGCTGGTCAGGGCTTTACAAGAACCTCTCACATAGAGGTTACCCTTGCTTTTCTTTTGCTGGCTGCCTGGAAAATAATCTGTCTGCAGAACATGTACAAAGTGATCTGTGAGAGCTGCTRGTGGCTACCAGGAGTTGAAAGCACAGAAGAGCCACACACTGATAAGACTCTAGATAAGACTCTAGATAAGAGTCCAGCAAACGTGCAGAAAGCTGGAGAGCAAATTCCTCTCCCGGTGTTATGTTCAGCTAGAAKAAAGAGTCGTGTTCCCCCAGAGTGAACCCTGATCAGCCTTTTCCCTTGCTCCTTCCAGCGCTCCAGCGGGGGTACCTTGCCCCTCTGGGTACCTGCGCCTGGAGCTGCTCCTCCTCCCGGGTGGAAAAGGCGGTGCGGCAATGCGGCGGCACTTCCATCTCCGCCACGATCCTCTGGATCTGCCTCCTCATGCTGTCACACTCCTCTGCGCTGAAAAACTGCTCCAGGACAAGGAAGCCATCCTTGTGGAACTGGAAGAGACGGGGTGATTGCTCTTCCCCAGAGTCCTCGGGGGAAGCAGCACAAAGGAGAAAACAGTTCTGGCTCTTTGCAGGATGAAAATCATCCCAGCTCCAGCTCTGCAGCCAGGCAGCAGCATGTTCTTAATTTCAGRAGGGGCTTCTATTGTAAAAAAGATTCATTAACAAGCTGAGATTCCAGACAGGTAAGAACAATCTACCTCAATCCCTGTCTACACAAAGCAGAGATCATCTCTTCACTGGAGCCTTCTGTGGCTCAAGGATATCTTATCTAAGACCTGTAACCAGCAGCTGTTCAATTATCAAGCCCACTAATGCAAACATGGCAGTCTACCTGTATGCCAAATCTGAATGAGATTCCTTTACAAGCTGGAAAGCTTTGCTTACTCTAAGGAGAAAAAATCCCTGGGTGATTTCTCACAGTCGACTACACAATCCCTTACAAAATGAAGTGAACTCTGCTGGCAGTGAACTCAGTTTCTTTATATAGAATACCCTGGAGATTATCCTTTGCCAGGAAGATTTCGAGTTCAGGGATGAGAGCTGATGAGCAGCACASACAGAAGGGGCACAGGAGAAATCCCTCCAAGAGCTCTGCAGGAGAAGCTGCCCCTGGGAAGAGTTTGTAGCCACAACACTCACACTCTGAAATTAATTTAGTACACGAAGCTGAGCAGAATATAAACTGTTTGTAAAGAAGATCTTTGCAAGACCTGCAGACAGGTTAACTAGCAATGACTGTGTCTTACACACAGTGTCACTGCCTGCACTAAGACACGCTCCCTCCCCGGAGAGCAGCTCTTACCTTCTGGATCTGMTGCTGGCTGATGGATGCCATCAGGGCAGGAGCTCCCCAGATCCCACCACAACACCACGATGCCACCCGGGCTCTGCAGGGCTGACTCCCCGCCTCTCCACGTGATCCTTGTCCCAGCATGTGATAAAAGCCAGTGCAGTTGGACTCTTGCACAGCTCCAGAGTTTTTTGTTCCTGTCACTGRCTCTTTGTTCCTGGCAGGGACATTYACRGCTGCACAGTTTTGCTTTGGCTCTTGGTGGTGCACAAAAATTTTATAGTCAAGTGCAATCACAAATTTGATTAACATTTTAGCTCTAAGGAGGAATCACTTTTAATTAATAACCCGGGTTTAAAAATAGGACAGTTAAAGTGGTAATCACAAGGGTAAGTAAGATAAGGGAATGTAAAACAAGATTCAAGTGGGATGAAGCAATCTAAATATCTTAGAACAAATTTATAAAGTACTGATTCAGGTCTTACAGAGCCCTTTTTGCTCAGTTAGTGAGYCCAGCCAGCACTTCAGCACATCCCTTGAAAGGGCTCCACAACCCAGGAGGTGACAAACAGACTGAAGGGTGTTAAAGAGCTTTCACTGAGGATTTGGTAGAGCCCATAGAGAATATTTTCTGTTGTTTTCATTCACAGCTGCTTTTTGGTAATTTACACTTTCACTTGCTCAGTTCCCTCTCCTGCAGCTCTGGAAGTCCATGTAATATTTACAAATAAGTAAAGCCAAATCCACCCAAAGTTTAAACCAGAGAGAGAAAATGCAGAAGGTGGGTCTRAAAGGCAGCAGAGGGAGGAACAGTTGTCAGCCCAGCGGTGGCGCTCCCAGCCAACACATCCCTCCCCTCGGGAAACTCTGGGGAAGGTTTTTCTCTCTAGAAGAAAATGTGTTTGCTCCTACAGGAAACACTGAAAACACCCTTGCAGCAGCACTCCACAAAAATAACACCATGGGGGCGGGTTCTTGCATCACTCACCCAGGCAAAGGAAAGACCAACAAAAGGAAGGAATGCAAAATGCTCGCAGAAAGGTGTTTATATTCTAGCAACTGAAAATCCATTTCAAGAGAGATTGTTTTATTAATTAGGTTTCCATTCTTTAAGGGAATCGATTGTGGATAAAAATCCCTCTGCATCTTATTACTTTTCCATCTTTTTTAATAAAGTGGAAATTAGGGTTTTAATTTGTTTTCAGGCTTTTCCCTGTACACAGGAGGATATGAATTCAGTAGGTTAAAAAGCTAAATTTTCCCAGAGACTTTAATCACTGGATTACAAACCTGGAGGGGAAAACAAAAATCAGTCTCTAATGTCACGAAGCTCAAAAAAATATTCCTGTAGTTCCTTCTTCCTCTTAGTCTCACACCAACTGATGCAGCGAAAATGTTTTTAAGGAAGATGTGCGAAAAGTAGGGGAAAAAACCCTGTTGTAGCTGTTACCTGCAAGCTGATTGTGTGACCCACCTCACCCCACCCTGGGAGGCAGCAATCCTGGAAAACACTCCTGGAAAACACTCCCACACCACTCCTCAGCCCCTCTCCGTCATGGTCGTGTCATGTCCTTCTCATTCCCAGACACGGTGTTTTTTTCCAGCAATTTATCACGTCACCTCCTCCACTCCCCACCTTACCCACACACGATGACTCCAGAGGCTGTTTTGGTTCATGCCACAGCAGCAAACCACAGTTTTCCTGTTCCATGGAATGTTTCAAGCAATAAAAACAGCAGATCACAGCGAACAATGCAGCAACTACCAGGAGATAAAAACCATCTTTGCCACTCCAGCCTTGCCCCTATTTTGAGGCTCAGCAAGACYTTTCCAGCAAGAGGAAAACCACTCKSGCCATAYAATGCCCCMMAAAAAATCAAAGAGAAGGATGCCACCATCGTAAATCCTTCTCTCTCAGTAGGTTTAAATAGAAAATTTAAAAGAACTTCAACAAAACTGGGAAAYGGCCCCTTTTCCTTCTCTTCCTTCCCCTCCTAGAGCTCTTTTTGCAGACTGTTAGCATTTTCTTCTGCCAGCTCAGCAAGAAAACTTCTGGCAAACTCCAYTGGAAGCTGCCAAAGCCTATCCCATGTCTGCAGGAAAGGTACAGCTCAAGTGTTTCAAATGCCTTTTGGACTGGCACAATTATCCCAATTTCCTCCTCAATAAAAGTTCTTATTGAAACCATTTGGAGCCAAGCCAGCTCAAGCAGCTCAACACACTCACCAAAACTGCTGCTGTTGAGCTGCCAGGGTTATCAGGGAGGAAAAATTTCCACTGGACAGCTGCACTTCTCCTGAAGTCTTTGAKATGATCAGCAACAAGTCAAAGAATATTTAATGAGAAACAAGGAGCAAGGGAAGCATGATTTCCTCATCTCCTCAAAGAGCAGTAAAATCCCACTCACCTGTTTATAGAGTCTGCTCACATTTTCTGTCTGAAGTGAAACCAATGTCATTGCAGTCAAGACAAAGGAAGTGAGGGAAGGCAACACACAAAAGAAACTCAAGAGCTGCACAGAAATTCCAATTTTCTTTTCAAGTCACAGGCTGATTCTCTTTAATTGGGAAAGACACTATCTGCCAGCATTTCTAGTTAAGGAATCCATGGGAAATGCAGACACTGAAACAATTTACCAGTATTTGTCTGGAGACAATTCCTATGGCAACAGACAGTTGTCTCCATTGCCTTCACTCCCTATTGCTTTCCTGTGGACTGAGATCCATGTTCACAGTTTGAAAACCCAACTGAACTCCCATAGAGTTCCCAAGCAGATAAACTTCAACAGCCTTAAATACAGCAACAGGAACTGTTTYAGACACTTGTTAAAGTGATGATGAAATCCATGACAGAGCCCCAGCTTGTCACAGAGCAGCATCTCTTTCTTTCTACATTCACTTAATTCATAAAGGATTGTCATAATCCACAGCAACTCTTGTGATAAATAAAACAACCCAATAATCCYACACAACAGCTGGAATTATTAACATCTGTCTTCTGAAAAGCAAGAWCATGGAAGGCCAAGTACACAGGAAACACCAAAAAAAGTAGACATAGAAGGAAAATGCAAATTAAAACTTTTATTCTGGTAAAGTGTCCAGTCATACAAGTCTTTCAGAGCAAACAAAAGCAGCCTTCAGTGTTCATGGGGAAGGTGCTGTTGCTCAGCTGCCCTAACAATCCCATGTATAAAGTGAATGTCATGATTCTGAAATGTTACACCAAGYTGCAGGTTCCAGATGCCAAACCACAGCCCTGCCTGTGCATTTACACAATGGGAGTGMACCATGTTTAAGCCATGAGTAGTGATTTACTGCAATGGACACATTTGTCAGCTGTACAGATGACTCAGGCTCAGTAGCCCCCTTCTCATTAAGTCTCCTCCAGAAAAATTCTTCCATTGTCCAGTAAAATTCCTTTAAAGGAAAYAGGAGGAAGGGATGGAAAATTCCAGGAATCCTAAATGAAGCCCTTGTGTGAACTCACATGAAGTTCACCTTTGCCACTGGGGTCCAGCAATTCAAGTGCATCTACTTTTGAAACAGGATTTTAGAGATGAGCTTTCTGGAGGATTTCATACTCCCAAAGTAGCTGAATATTAACCCACCACAGCTGGAGGGAGAAGAGTCTGAACCAAACTTTAATACTCCTGYCCCATTCCAGTTGTGCTTCATGCACTCTTAGAACGGGGTAGGACAGAAATCTCACTCAGTTTTGGCACAYGCTCAGGAAAAGTACATGMYCCATTGTGGCCAAACAGTGGAGTTAAAATGGAAGAAATTTTTTTAACATGTAGTTTAAGCAATAATTTAACTAGTCAGCATCCTCACAGCCTTACCTTAGGTAACTTTCAGAGCAGGTGACTGCTCATGGTATGACAATATTGTCTGGCAGTGAGAAGCCACACCAGAAGTTGGGAAATCTCTCCATGATTGAAAGAAAAAGAATTGGAGGGAGGAGTTGGCTTCAGGCAGGCACTGCTGTAAATACACTCCAGGGAGCAAGTGCCTCTGGGGAGATGAGACATTAACAGATCTCTAGAGAAGGCACAGATACTAATGAGGGGGGGAAAATTACTCCTTCCATGAAGGAGGTGAAATAAAAATGTTAAAAATCCAAAGAATTCAAACCATGGAAGTTCCATTCTAAAGCAGGAAAAAAAGTACAGAGAGGAAACAATGTCACAGCCTAGGAATCAATACAATTTGAAAYGTTTTCCCAGACAACTCATCCTCTGTAAAGGATGTGTTATTGTTCCCAAAATTCCTGGAATTAATTGTTAAAGCAGAAAAAAAATAAAAAGAAGAGTTCTTCATGTGGTTCAGCAACAGAAAGCCACTTAATACTATTTATGGTAATGAACACCAAGAACTTTAATTAAAATGGAGTGAGATAAATGGAGTGTATTAATGGCAATAAGAAAAAAATTAAAAATGAGGTAGGATATTAAAAAGTTATAATTAATACAGAGGAACAGCACATCATGAAAGATACCTGTAACAGCTATTTAACGATTCAGACTGACAGAGTAAATTACTTCCAGCTGCTGAATTAACTGGGGATCAAATAATAAAATCAGAAAACAAGATGAAACACAGAGCAACTTCAGCTAATATTCTAGTGCATAGTGTCAGAGTACAGCACAATTTAACACATTTAATAGGTTTGGTATTCCTTGCTTTTCACCTGGTTTARAATAATTAATTGCAACTTATCACTTTTTGGCGTATTTAGCAGGAAAGATAAAGTGCATGTTACTAACCTTCMATCCTAACACGAGATGAGCATCCTTGTGATCTCCAAGAACTTGTTCAGCTCAGAAGTGCTATTAAGGAAACAGGTGGGTTTAATTCAAGTTGCTGTATGGCTCAGCAGCTAATAAATAATTGGTTTGCTACCATTTTGAAAAGCCTGGCAGGAGAACAAGACACTGCGCAGAGCAGTGACTGTCTGCTTAAACTGAATGCTTTTTGTGAACACACAGATCAGTGCCCAAAATAAACCCTTWAGTTTAGTCTGATGCAAACTTAAAGGAAAACACAGAATATCCACTGGTTGAATACTGTGGGGGTGGGGTTGTTGAATATCCACGGGT